TAGCCCATTTTAAATACAACTATCTCGGAGGCATCATTACACGCGTGTACACTTATTTATTGAAATTAAACTACCCATACTCGTTAGTTGGGATATAAACTATAACTGAAGTCTGAAATTATGGTTGTTTTATTTATGAGATATCTATATGATTATTTTTTTTAAAGCTTCTTAAATAGTCACCAGAACACCTCCAACAGTAATCAAGTTCAATATCATTCTATTGAAATAAAAAGTATTACATAAAGTGCATTTAGATTATGCACTAAATTTTAATTAACTAATCAGTAAATCCATGCATCACTAGGTGAACACATATATTCTTTTTGTGTAATTTGTAATTTGATTTAAAGTGCAACAACGAATTTTAAAAGTTAATTAATACTATTGACAATAAATGACGTTTAATGATCTCCATGATATTGAAATACTAATATTTGAATGAAGAATATTCTATTCGATAAATTCTCTTCAGGTTCTACAATTATATATCTAAATTAATAATCTAAAAAATGGCCAGGTTAAGGGCAAAGTAGATCGTTCAAATCATATGAATTTAGGATTGTCACACAAAATATAAAATTGTTAATGTTGATATGACTCATATAGAATGTTAACTTGAATCAGCTTATATGTAAAGTGAAAATTCAAGATCCATGATCAGAATAAATATAGGTCAGATAGGGTGAGAGAAATAATAGTGAAATCACAATTCAATCACATGTTTAGTGGAAGACTATATTGTGGGAAAAATTAGTAAGGCGTAATGAGGAGGGATGAATGAGAAGTGAATGAATCATGTATTGGGGAGATGAATAATTACGTTTATTCTACTTTGCTTGTCAATCCTAAATTCTAGTGGTTGAAATCATGAGTCAATGGAAGCTAGACCACCATTTCTAAAGTCTCCACAAAACCCTTCTGATGATCCTAAATTCACATGCTTTGACTTTAAACGATACATTTTGCCATTAAACTGGCCATTTTTCGGACTATTAATTTAGATATATAATTGTAGAACCTGAAGACAATCTATCGAAGAGAATATTCTTCATCCAAACATTAGTATTTCAATATCATGGGGATCTTTAAACGACTAAAATGTTGTGAACAACCCATTGCGTTGAAGGTGCTCAACGAGTTCGTGAAGTATAACGTCAAGTTCACTGAAACGAAAACTACTATTGAATAAATGAAGTAGCAATATCAATTATTTCATACTCGTTGAAAGTTTTATGATAATTTTTTCCACGTTTTTGCATGACTTCGCATCCAAAACAGAATATGTACGAGAACGAAAAAACTATACGATGGGATAATCAAAAATTTAATAATGCTCTTTGTAAATTCATACGATGAGTTGATAAGAGTAGTTGACTATTTATGTAACGTATCCATGAAGTTAAGATTTACGTATCAGGGTCTTAGTCAAAGTTTAAGGTTATTGACAGCATTCGACTACTTAATTCAAATTAGATGAATATGAAGTGAAGCCTACAACGAGTTTCCTAAAGGTTGAGTGGTTTCCAGATGACATGTTATTGGACGACATGTTCGGAGTGAGATAAGAGAAAATGAATACCATTGTAAATGTGTTTGTTTGTAATCCACAGTAATATACCTTGAAGAATATAGTGTAATACAATAAAAAAGACTTCGTTGCGTCATAATAAACAAAAGTACTGCATTTTTTGCAAACTCGGTAAACATGTATAAAGGCGTAACGCTTTAGATTGACGGTTCAACAATGTCGATTGCATTCCTTTGAAGAGGAAGTCATAGCCGAGATTTAAAACATGGCTTAGTCCAATTAATAAAAATGCCAGTGACTGGTTAGGAGCAAGTCAAACTTTATGATGATCTTAAAGCGAGTTTCACCTGACTATATATATATATACTCTAAGCCCAGACGTTTAGAACTATGGATGGAATACATTAAGGAGCAGTTCAGCTGGCATTCAGCTACTATACGGCTACCCACTGTTTCCAAAGACCCTTAATGAAATATTGAAGTACCCCCCCCCACCGAAGAAAGCTATAGCTAATCTGAAACGAGGAAGAGCAGTTGGTCCAGATGGATTGGTTTCTGAGGTCTTTAAGGATGATGATTTAGTTTTATCGATAAGGTTGACTAATATTTTAGCTAAAATCTGGGAATTGAATGTAATCCCATCTGGTAACAATCACTGGTCGTCCTAATTTGTAGGAAAGGATCAAAATCATCCTGTGATAACCATAGAGGGATTAGTTTGACTAACATAGCATCTAAAATACTAGTCTCGATAATTATTGGGTACCTAAAAGAGACTCGTGAATTGCAAACACGAGAAAACCAGACTGGCTTCGGACCTGGTCGTGACTGCATCGACCACATATTCATCAGATTTTAGAACACAGACACACTTATCGGCGTCCGACAATGATGGTCTTTCTTGACTCAAAATCAGCATTTGACTCTGTTGCCCGAGAGGTCCTGTGGCAGTGTCTGTTATTGAAAGACGCACCTCAGAAATACATAAACCTTGTGAAGACTCTTTACTGGAACACTACCAGTCGAGTTAGAGCTTATGGCAAACTGTCATATGATTTCGCAACCTCAAGTGGTGTCCGACAAGCCTGTTCATCACCTCCATTTTTGTTTAACTTCATCATAGACCTATTGATGGAAATAACGTTCTCGTCGACTGAATTTTTGGGCATTGATATCCTTCCACGAGGTCTACTTATCGACTTATTACACGCAGATGATGTAGTCCTGTTTCGCTAAGACGCTGATAAAATGCAGTCTTTTGGTAGTACTGAGCAGCAATACCAGGATGTTTGGGATAAGTCGAAATACGAACTAAGTTAGTGTCATGTTGAATACCATTCTTAGTTGCATTAGTGTTTGTTAGGTGACACCTGAACTAAGGATAGGGAGTGAAACAGTCGAACGCGTCGACATTTTCACTTATCTCGGAAGTGTGGTCAGCCCTAATGGGTTGGTGTCTGACGAAATCTCTGCACGGATTTGAAAAGCTCGTCTGGCTTTTGCCAGCTTACGTCACCTATGATGAAGGCGAGATATCCGTCTATCAATAAAAGAACGAGTATACTGCGCGGCAGTTCGTTCTGTTTTGCTTTACGGCTGCGAAACGTGGCCATTAAGAGTGGAAGATACTCATAAACTACTTGTGTTTGATCGCAGATTTTTTAGAAATATCGCCAGCATCTGCTGGGACCACTGGGTAAGTAATAGTGAGGTTAGGCGCACGGCATTAAGGAATGATGGTAAATCATCTACTGAGATGGTTGGGCCACCTGTTATGCATACCTAAACACCTATTACCAGGACACGCAGTGCTGACTAGTCTTGGGAATGGTCAGAAGAAAGTTAGGAACGACCGAACCAAAACGTGGCATTAGCTCTTAAAGTCTGAGCCATGTTGGTAGATGCAGACTAGTTGGTTTGGGTTCGCGCAATCATCGGAATCAGTAGTGGTTGGAGACTCTGGGTGACATGGCTCAGAGTCAATCACAATGACGTAGGTGTATACACTCTTTGTCATCCCTTAAACGGTGAGATTAAAATTGCTTTACACCTTTCTTTCTACCAACTAATTCTTTCTTCCTGTACTATATCTTTATACACAATCATTCTTTTATATATTACTACGATTAAAGTAATTACTATGAATTTGGTGTTCATTTTGTTATGCTAATAAGGTGTGGCAACTTGGACCGATGCATACATGTGCCTGGCCCTACGCCGTAGCTGACTGACTGATATCAGATATCATTATTCAATAAAGAATAAAACTGCAGTAACATTAAAAGTCAGTATAAAAACGAACTGCAAGCGCGGTACACCACAGACAAATCACCAATACCAGAGATATACCTAAAGATATTTCTGAATATTATCAGGATGAAAGTTGTTGAAAACAGGTAAGAGAAATGTGTATAGGAAAACAAAAGGGTTCAGAAGTCTAGATAGACAGATCATGGTAATAAAAATTACATTAGCCTGGAAGTATGAGAGGTTTGGGAAATGCAAAAGGTAAGAAATATTACTATTTTTCAAACGTTTGGTTCGATTTACTTCAATCCTACTCACTGCCTTCTCGAGGCAGGGGTGTTGTTTACGAAACTGAGAGGATGAAAAGCGAATGTCTGGCGCTTCAACCGAGTTGGTGGACATGGAGAGTTCACTTAGGGGAGTTAGAAAACCCTGATTCCGAACCAATGATGCACATGGGCTGGTTCCAGGATCCTGAAGGAAAAAATGGCGTATGAACTAATCGTTGGTCACCCACTGTCATGGGGCTGCATCTCCTTACGTTGCTCCACTACCTTGTGGATCAGACCTTCAGGTCAAAGGCTTCGAGTGTGGCTCCCTAAGAAGACCATGTGCTTCGGTTCGGGCACCCGGGCAGTATCACAGCCCTCACACCAATGAAGTGACTTGTGTAGCGCATATGTATTTGATGCCCCTTCGTACCAATATTCATGTGTTCAGATAAATATTTTGGGAGATTATTAGATAAACTGAAATGGAAATCTAGCCTTATGAAATGTACCTTTGGTGATTTGAAATAATTCCATGATTACACAGTCATTTGATTTTTTCTTCAACAGTAGTTGATAATCGTGTGCTTTTATGTGCATACTGTAATGAGTTGGTGTAAAGAGTGTGATACCGTCTAGTTGCACAAATAGAAGCAATGAATAGTCGTAGAGAACCCTTCTGTAACTTTGATCGAAATCTCTACAATTATTTACGTTATTAGATAGTTTTTACTCTTTGTTAACTAGGAATTAGGAGTAGTAATTTTAACGGAAAGTGATTAGTCAGAATTTTAACTGGAAGATCACTGAGTCTTTATACGAATGTGATTATCTTTAGATTAACTTCAGATGCCAAAATAGAGTGATACACACAAACAGTTTAGTAAAATCAACACAATAGTTAATAGGAATCATACGGTGTGAACAAGGTAAAGCAATAATATAGAACTAACTATAAAGTCCAAAATTTTTCGAAAATGATTGAGCAATAAACATCTCCATCCCCATTGAAGCAAATAAACGGACAGCCCAAGCATCATTATCTAGGTTTCCGCTAGCAAATCCTTGATAAGCCATGTCAAATACAGGGAAAAGTTTTTTCTCCTGAAAAAATAAGGTGAATAAACAAACTATTCAAAAAGCACTCGTTAATCATTTCGAACCAAATGAAAATGTTCAGTTCGCAGTTAGTTTCTAATATAGTAGGAGTAGGCACAGACTAATTAAAGTAGTGACTACCTACAAATTACGAGATACTCCAGAAAGCTTTGGTTACTGAATATATTTGCTCATATGAACAAGGAAAAACGATGTAAGGTCACGTAAATACGTGTAGATAGATCTCGCAACGTCTAACACAAGAAAATAACCAGCACAATCTGACATGATCGTAAAAGTGAAATTAAAACCTGAAGATACTATTACAGACTGATTAATTGAGTTCACGCGAATCTGTGTTCATTAAAAGACTATCTCAATGAAATCAGGCGATAAGCAAGAGTTTTGATGTAACACTTTGCACGTTCGTACATTATTCACCATCGCAACAAATTATTCATGAGGTCTTCGAAAAAATCCCTATTTATTTAATTATTGAAGTACTGGCGAGAAACAAAATGCTAGATGTGAACACAACACTTAGACTGAGTATAAATGTAAAAGGTCACGAAATCACTGATAATTCGAACTGGAATGAACATACATTTGGCATTCAGGAAAGTATATGTTATTTATTATTTAGGTAAGACTTGGTACAATAAGTCAGCAAAGAAAGGGGAAACAGACGAGATAATATTGCGAAGAAATAAAGGAGAGAAGGGTAGTACAATCAATAAATGGACGAGTAAGAAACAGTGCAGTCAAAAATACACCTGAACTTCTTCCATTTAAAGAAGCTCATCTAACTTTACGAAGGGAGTGACAGAAAAATACAACAGAATCACCACTGATTTCTATTCCGACCATATATGACAGCGTTTAAAACCACTAGTTTGAATGACCTCTATGACCCCAATCATGATGACCTGACAGAGCCAGTTGTATACAGTTTCTATTTACTGAAAGATGACATGTTACAAACTGACTATCTCTCCGCGTCTTCAACTCAGTCATGACGTGGAGAGATAACTCCCTATAAGAAAGCCGTCGGAACGGCATTTGTGTGGCATGACCAAACCACCGAAGTCGGTGTTTTAAGATGATCCTAATTGAATTCTCATCAGTATCCAAATATACATTGTTGGACCTCAGCACGGTTAACATGGTGCTATCATCAGATGTGAGCAGTTCTTTGGAAACAACAGCGTTCAAACAAGGAGGGCTCGGATTTCACAAGCATATATTAAGACTGGTCTCAACAAACAGTTATAAACCTGACCCTCTACACCCAGATCAATATCACAACAGCGCTGAAAATAGCTTAAATTTATGCAAGCCGATCTGGCTTTTACAATACGTGGATTGATGTTTTCTGCCACGCAACCACTGGAACTCACAATTAACTAAATACATGAATTTTTGACTACTTCTAGCAGTTTACCATAGAGAGCGAGTACATTTAAAAACTAACGTCATTCTTGTAAGTGTTTTGCATTTCGAAGTTACAAAGTATTTACAGATACTAATGCCTAACTGACTAAGTGCGATTTAGATAAGCTGAGTTTTGTCGGACTGTAAGTCAACGTCATTCAAGTAGTTAAGACAAAAATCTCTTCAGGAAACAGGCCAACTCCATATCGATATACCCCTTTTATTGCTATTTAGGCGCGATACCAAGAGAAAAATGTAAAAGGAATTGTAAAATTGTGAGATGTTCCCTAACACTACTATTGGTTCAGTACAATCGAGAAAAATGATTGTATTTTCTCGATCTACCTGAGGTGTATGCGTACATGGTTGCGTTAGAGTCCTTAGTAAACCTTCGCTTCGTTGGTCGGATTAGTGTTCGCCCGCCATGGAGAGAAGTAGTCTAGTTAACGTTGTTCAAGCGACAGACATACTGAACTGTCCAACTTTCAGGAGGGCCCTCGACGTTGCTAATTCGTGCTCCATAAACTTTACAGATTGTTTCACTGACATCGGACTTCTTTCTGATAATGGGTCGAATGGGTTGAAACAACTTCTGGAAGTTGTTAGATACAACTGCGCCTCCAATTCGTTATGATGCTTTGATTAACAGGTGTTCGGTACTTAGGTAAGCTTCGAGTAATTTTGAGTGTTAAGGATTTACGTGCATTACACGAATAGACAGATAGACAAAAGTGGGTTGTGGTCTGCACAAAACTGAAGGCGATCACTCTCAAATTAAGACCAATGACTCTTAGATAGTCATTCAAAAGACTCTCTGCCATGTCTAGAGTTCCGATCTACGAAACCCAGGCTAAAAACGTATCTGTCGGGTGAAGTTTATTTGAAATGTCGTTTGATTGATGGTAAAATTTATCGTAGGTTGCATCTTGGCTGCGCCATGCACCCTGCAGAAGGACATTATCGACATAAACTCTGGTATAGATAAGTGTTGCTCCAAGTTGCCATAACTGATTAGCATGATGAAATGAGAAAAATAACTAAATAGCGAAGTAATAATGGTGAAAAGGACTAAACGGCGGAAATATGATTTGAGAAGAGTGAAAAGGCATGTATGAGGGAATAGTGGAATTCATGATTGAAGAATAGATGAAAAGCAAATGCATCTGAGACACGGGGAACGACTCTGACCCATATCACGCAACGTATACCGCCGTTAATGCACAGAACGCAACCGGGTAGTCTGCTCTGGTTCACACTAATAAATGCGCGGGCAAGATGGTGAATAAAAAAAGGCTCACCAATAAGGGAGACTATCATAAAGGTCCATATTGATCGAGAGCATCGAAAGGGGTAATAAAAATTTAAAGGTTTGAAATTCGGTCCGTTTAGCGTCTGTCCTTTGGCCTGTACGACCAATCAAAAAAGTAGTTCTTTAAACGCATACTCTCAATAAATACTGTAATTTTTTGGATTCAATAAGGATCTGTCGATTAATCCAGTGATGTTATTTCATACATTTATTTCAGCCAGAGAAGGTGAGGATCTCTTTGATCTATCTAATAATTGGTGTGAAGACTGACAGTAGTAAGGCTTACAAAATATATCTCCGTCCATTAATGGACATCATTTGATATGATACCTACAACCCTTTAATTTTGAGAAACTAGCCCACATCTATCAGTCAATATGAAGAAGTATCAAAGGAAATGTTAAGTCCAATTACAAAACCTTACAATAAATTTTTCTGATGAAATCCATCCACATATTTAATTAGACATTCTTAATTTATTGAATGCGAAATCTCACAAGTCAGGAAAAATTAGTTTACCTTGATAAGTAATGCCAATTGATTCCACTGATCATGAGATAAATCAGTCCCAGTTGGGTTATGAGCACAGGCATGCAGAATGACAATAGCTCGTTCAGGGGCTTTGTTTAGGTCCTCTAGCATCCCAGTAAAGTTGACCTTTCTAGACGAAGGATCCCAGTAACGATACTCTTTTATGTCCAAACGGACAAGGAGAGATATACCCTTGTGGTTAGCTAAAGAAATTATTATTCAACATTTGCATACGCCATGAAGGGTTGGAAATGTAGACAGTAGTACATTTGGAAATATTTGATAGGAACTGGAGGCTAAATACACTGCACCTGTTCCTCCCAACGTTTGACAACTGTCTGCCTAGTACGAGGATAGTAAGAAGTGAATGTAATTACCTTTTTAGAAGCAATCAGTTTACAATCTTCCCCAAGGACGAGTTTAGTTGCCGCTTTGCACATAATATCAATACCAGATACTGGAAGATATTCCTTATCAAGGTTATGATCAGCCGCCATGAGGGACTCAACCGTTCGAACTACAGGTAGAACCCATGGTTTGCCTTCATTTGTGCGATACGCTTCAAATTTTATTCTTGATGAACACCTGAAACTTACCACCAACGCCAAGGTTAACTTTGTGAGTATCTTTGTCTTCATTACATGCTTCTGTTAGTGCATATACTTCGATTGGTGGTGCATCGTGAACTAATTCGAAGAATGACATCACTATCTGAAAACTCCGAAACAAGTGACAGTCTACAAATCAGGCGCTCGCCCAACAACCTTAGACGTTTAACGCAACCTATAGGGATTAACAATAAATTTCAATATACTGCCACGTTACATTATTTTCTCTCACACCAAGCACTGTCGTAAGTGCTTGATATTGCCACTTGTCTTGTAAGCCTTAAAGTCATTAAGTATCTTGATTTTCACTATCAGGAATCTACGTCATTATTTAGTAAGTTACCGTTCAAAGATGGTTCAAATGGTTCAAATGGTTGTGGACGGAATAGAAGAAGCTTTCGCTTAACAGGCTTCCGTGTCTAGTAGCAGGGGATCACCAAATCCTCCAGGCAGGGACCTAGGTATGTTAACAATAAAAGAGGAAAAAGAAATTAGTAAATCATAGTATGATACTATCCTTAGTCCTTAAGAATAGATCAAGTTGCCTCTTAAAGGACTCCTGGGAAGTTGCTTGGACTAGCTCAGCCGGCAGCGAATTCCAGCATTTGACAACTCTTAAGGAGTAGAAGTTGTGTCTACAGTCCGTTCTGCTATGTTGTGTCTCCAGTTTTTGGGTGTTATCTCTTAGGTTAGTGTTGGAACTAAGCTTAAGTAGGTGTTTGAGAGGATGTCCAGAAGTGTTAAGGATACTATAAGCCATCAGGTCACCTCTAAGACGTCTATACTCTAATGGGTAAAGGTTAAGTGAATGGAGGCGCTCTTCGTAAGGTTTAAATTTGAGTCCTCGAACTGATTTCGTGGCTCGCCGTTGGATACGCTCCAGGGTGTCCTCATCCTTTTGGAATGAGGGGGGAAATACTATGTTTCCGTACTCTAAATGGGGACGGATAAAACTATTGAAGATTATATGGAAAGTTCTTCCGTCAAACTGGCCAAAAATGCGCTTCAATGTTACCAGTGCAAGGTTTGCTCGGAAGGCATTTTTGTCACAGTTAGCGTAAGACTTTAAATCATAGGGCACCAGGACTCCTAAATCTTTTTCGACTTGGGATACTACTAGAGAGGAGTTTCCTAAGTTATAACTGTAGTCTGCGACATGTCGCAGATGGACTACTTTACACTTTGAAGTGTTAAAGGTAAGTCCGTTATCGTCTGCCCAACTTTGAAGTCGAGTCAGATCCTCCTGAAGTGCCTGTATATCGTCTTGGTTGCGTATCTCTCTCCAAAGTTTCACGTCGTCGGCAAAAAGTAATAAGTCTGACGTTACCTGTTGAGGAAGATCATTTATGTAGATCAAGAAGAGAAGAGGCCCTAGTACTGAGCCCTGGGGGACCCCACTAGGACATTCCATAGCCTGAGATAAAGTGAAATTAACCCTGACCTTAAAATGTCGATTTTTCAGGTATGAAGTGAGCCAATCGATTAGAGGTGGTCTGATACCCAATCGTTTGAGCTTATTGATAAGACATGTATGGTTAACCTTATCAAAAGCTTTTGAGAAATCTAGGTAGATGATATCAACCTTTCCCTTGTGATCAAGGATGCTTGTCCATCTGTCCACCGCAGTCAGCAGGTTGGTAATACAAGAGTAACCCTTCCTGAAACCATGCTGTTGGGGTGAGAAGAAATTTAAGGACAGTAAATAGTCATTTATACCATCGCATATCAAGGACTCCATGATTTTTGAGGGTATGGAGAGAAGAGCCACCGGTCGGTAACTTGAAGGTTCGCTGCGTCGACCTCCTTTGAAAATTGGTGTGATGTGAGCCAGCTTCCAATTTTCCGGTAGTTTTCCTCGACTTAGCGAGTGTGAGAACATCACGCTAAGCGGCGTTGCCAAGATTGAGGCTGCTTCCCTCAGTATGGCGGAATGGACCATGTCCGGGCCAGGAGAAGTGTCTAATCTTAAGTGCTGCAGTTTCCGGAACACCAAGTCAGCGCTTAGGTTCACTTCGGAAAGTTCTGTGGAATTGCAAACGAAACTGTCATCAGTAAAGTTAATGTCGGTCGGTTGAAATGTTTGAGAGTAATGTTCAGCCAGAAGGTTAGCGGCGTCGCCATCGTTGTTGGTCGGGCCGTTAAGACCTACCAGTTGGGAAACTCCAGTTTTGGCTTGACGAAGAGAGGCTGCATAACGGAATAAGCTTTTAGGATTAGAGGCAAATTTGTCCATAAGCTTTGTCTGGTACTGAAGCCTATCTTCTCTTATAGCCTTCGTGCATATGTTCCTGATATTTTTATATTGCCTGTACGCTCCGTCGTTGTCAGTTCGTTTGTATTCCGCCCAACAGTGCCTTTTGCGGCTTAGCAGGCGAAGGGTACGGTTCTTGATTATTGTAGGTGGCTTGCAGCTTTTGGGAACCGTTTGAGGAACTGAATGGTTTGTAGCACGTAAGAGCGTGTGCAGTAAGAAGTCCCAATGACCGTCCACATCGAGTTGAGGGTGAACATCCCAAACCACCTGTTGTAGATAGTCGTGTAGAGCTGGCACATTCAACCGTTTAAAATTCCAACGCAAGTTATTGGTGGGGTATCTTAGCTTAGTTTTGCTGACAAAACTGAAGGCTATGACGGCATGATCGCTTTTTCCCAGGGAGCCAGGATTGAGAGGTTGTCAACTAGAAATTCTTCGTTTGTGAATACACAGTCTAAGCGCGATGGTGTCTGACTGTTTCTCCAACGAGTTGCCGACCTCACATTTTTGAACAATCCCAAGTCATCGATGAGGTTGAAGAACCGAGCTTCAATTGAGTTGTCGCCTCCAGTATACGTGTGTTCCGCGAAGTTGACTCTAGGGAGATTAAAGTCCCCTAGAATCAGGATGTGTGTGAAACCGAGACGAGTAGAGCGGGATAGTCCTTCCAGCATACGACTATCGTACTCGATGTCGGCAGTTGGCTTCCTGTAAATGACTCCGACTAGACACCTCGAAGTACTAGACAATCTTACAGAGCACCATATAGATTCCTCAAGATTGTTAAACTCGAGGTTATGAACTTGATGCACCTCCAAGCAAGAACGTATGTAATAGCTACTCCGCCCCCAAATCCTGATTTTCTGTCATTGCGGAACAAAGACATCCCAGGTAATGCTAACTCTTGGTCCGAGAACTGAGAAGATATCCAGGTTTCAGATATTCCTATCAGATGGGCCTTATTAGCATTGCTAAGTTCACGTAGTTCATCCAGTTTGTTTGGTAGACTCGCGGCGTTCATATATAAGCAGTTTATGCTTTCAATTTGAAACGCGTGAGCTTCTTCCTGTTTGTCTGTATGAACCTTACGTGAATGGACAGGTAGCCCACCTATATGAGGTTTGCCGAGGTGGTAGGCCCTGTCCTTTACACGTTTTTTTATCGTCTAGACAGTCCACAAGTGGAATGATCAGCTCCAACTTGCCTTTGTGTTTGGTCCTAGCTTCGTATGGCCTATCCGGGTGCATGTGGATTCCAGGTGGCAGTCGACGTCTGTTGGCACGAAATGCTTCCAGAGTTGCAGCCGCCATATGGGAAGATGGGAAGGTTATCTTCATTAGACGGGGTCTAGAATCACCATCCTTCTTGGCTAGTCTCGTCACATGCTGTCAGTATGTTTTTGAGCCTCAAGGACTGTTTGATGAATTTCCATTCCCTGATGTCAGTCTTTGATTGAGTAGGGTCCGTATTTTCCGGTATACCTTGCACGATTATATTCCTCCGCGGAAAAACTGATCGCGAGTTTCTTTGGGGATGTTCCGGATGAGATTGCGCTCAGAATACGGTATGTCAGGCAGTATTCTTACATTCCCATCTGATTTCAGTAAATGACTCGCTAGTAAGACATCCTCTACGTCGGTAGCATTCTTAAGTGTTACATGAAGTAGCCTCGGGTGATTTTGATGCTTAGATTCCTTTCCCCGAGTGAGCCGTGTGACTGTCAAAGGCTCTATTCTTGGAAGTCCAAGTTTCTTGTTCAATTCTCCCCAGAGCACCCTGTCATTTTTGTCCTGCAAACTGAGAGGAAGGTCAGGGTTGTCTTTGAAGTTCATGACTATGATAGAGTCATCACTACTGTCTCGTTCAAGGACCTTGAGCCGTGAGACCCAAGTTTGCTGATGGAGTCGGGTACCGTCGTCGTAATCATGGTGCTAAGTTTCAGCGTGTCATCATTAATGCTGTTTTATGCTCCGTCGTTGGTAGACCTGTCGACATTCCTGTTCTCGTTTTCAATGCGCTTTCTTGTTTGTCTACCCATTTTTGACTGTTTTTTCCCAAGTTTGCAGACAACTTACTCTGCAGACCTGTCAGTAAGACAATGACGTTACTCAGCAAGACTGCAGCATCCGTGCTGCACGTAACACATTCCCACTTATGACCTGACTTGCTGAGTCTGTTGTAAGCAGTTGCTGTGAGATCTGTGCACGCTTCGTGGAACCAACCTTTTCAGTTGTCGCACTGCGTGCCAGGTGTAACAGCAAAACGGCATCCAGGTCGTTTGCATGAATTTTTCATGACCGTATTGACGTAAACTGTGTTGTGGATGCTAGCAAAAGCCTGAGACCGTAAAAAATACACTAAAAACACACTGAAAACGGATGAGATGAACTGAACTAGTCTTTACGTGAAAAAGTGAAAAAAACCGAATAGTAAGCTGAGGCAAAACCACAGTTAACTATTAAATTGGGTGAAACTCATAAAAGTAATCTACCGAACGTTTAGCTCAGGATAGATTCTTTTGGACAGAAATGGTACTTTTGTTGCGTAAGAACATAGCAAAAGTTTGATAAATGCAAATCACGATAGGACTAAACTTCCCGTTCAAAAAGCGCACAGGATGCCCTTACCATCTTCTTGGTAGTCAGTATAATATTTTCATACCAATACACCTCCCCCTAAAACCAAATTTTTGTTCCTTCCCACTGTAACTTCAGTTAATTAAATGAAGCTTAACCCATGTCAGTTGAGTACAACGATTGATATAGCCCAAATCGATATCGTCTGATAACATAAGGTCAAATAACCTCTACTTACTTTGAATGATCTGAATCTGCTAAAAATAT